ATATCGATGTACTCTTCTTCCCAATACCAAAACTTGCATCCGTTCTACACAATAAGACTTAAAGTTAGCACCACTAGTCTAATCGAAAGCACAAACCGAAGCTAAAAGAGCACATACCCCATCGTTTAAGCACTTGATGAACACCCATCCGGGATGCTCCGGCGTTGTAGACACGTGGCGCACGACCACCCTTGGACAGTGGTCGCACTTGATGAGGGGCAACGGTGCGCCAACGAGCTTTTGGGCAAGCACCGAGTCCGTCCGGCCGCCATTCGCGTATCTGTCGGCGGGCCATCGACGGTGCAAATCCGAGCGGCTAGAGGACGAGCCACTGCCTGCATGTGGCCTTGCGGCCCTGCCAGGGCCTTCCGGCGAGGTTCCCGGCCAGTCCATGGCGCGGCCCGGCCTCCCACAGCCGGGCGAGCTCAAGACCGACCGGATCCGCCCCAAATCCGGCCAGCGGGCGCGCAAACAAGGTGGCCGTGCTTGGGTAGCTCGGCGGCGACGAGAGGAAGGGGTTGGGCAAGCGAGCGCCCGAGTTGCACGGCTGCAACGGTAGCGGGCGGCCGCCAGCGGCGAGGGGAAGAGAGGGGAAGAGTGGAGTGGATGCGGCCGGAGGGAGGGAGGGGGGCGGATAGAAAAAGGCCCGTCCTGTGCCACCGACGGGCGGGCCAGGGGAGGACACGCGCAGACGACCCACGCGTCCGCGTGGTGTCCATTTCACCCCAAAAGCGGCGCAAACTTGGGCCGTGGATGGGTCGAAAGCGGACACAAAGCGGACAAAAGTCCGTTTGAGGCCGCGTGCTGGGCCGTCTCGTTTGTCCCTTTTACCCCAAACGGACGGGGCCGGACAGGATAGGCCAACTCCACCGCGCGACCCTATCCTGTCCGGCCCCGTCCGTTTGGGGTAAAAGGGACAAACGAGACGGCCCAGCACGCGGCCTCAAACGGACAAATGTCCGGATTCGGTCCGTTTTTGACCCATCCCCGACCCAAACTTGCGCTCGGTTTGAGGTGAAACGGACTGGTCAGGGCTTTGATTCTGTTCTTCCTGCGTCGATCACTTGCCTGTCCTCTCTGGTCAGGGCTTTGATTCTGTTCTTCCTGCGTCGCATTGAAGCTCTCATCTGAAAATAGTGAGTGTTTTTATCCCCGTAGGTGAGCCAGTCTACCCTAGACCTCTGTCTCTGCAAAATTTCTTCTCTGTCATATCACTCGACTAGGCGATCCGTTATTTTAATCTCCAGCCTACTCGGGCCAGTACGTCCCTGCGTATTTTTCAGAGCATCTAGCTGTCGTTTCAATTGCTTAATCTCCCTCTTCACGTTACCAAAAGTGTGTTTATCCCAATGCATCAGATTTTCACCCAAAGCTTTTAGCTTGTCATGTATATCATGAACAGAGGCTGCCCGAGGTCCTTCCTCCCATTCTGAATGAACAAAGGGTTCGAAATCAGTGTGTCGTTCCCACATCATCTCATATTTGAACTTTCTAGTACCTTGAGTACTCTCCCCATCTGCTAGTTTGAGCAATATCGGGCCGTGGTCCGAGCACACCGATGATAAGTTTTCTACCTCTGCAAACGGAAATATCGTGTTCCAAACCACATCAGCAACTGCACGGTCTAGACGAACTCTTGTGTAAGACCCTCCAGCAACTCTCTTTTCAAATGTCCACATTCTTCCCTTATATCCCAGGTCCGCCAACCCGCACGTATCCAGAGCATCTCTGAACCCCTGCATTTGAATGGGACCCGGCGCATAGGATAGAAGGCCGTTGCTTGCCCTAATCAAAGGTTTTCGAGCTCACGGTCACGGGCCGTGCGCCCCTCAACTCGGCCATGTAGTTCGACGACGCCATCCTATCACCTTTTCTTATTTGTCTGTACTGCACGGCGCCGGGTAGACCCAGTCTTGTACACCGTCACGTGCATGCAGTTCGTTTTCTCCACCTCCTATGAATTGAACCGTACGCAGGAAGCACCTCAACTTGCATGCAAATTAACAACAATGCCCGACATGTAGTAGGCATGCAGGTCTATTCCTCGGCTCCCACCAGCCTTTCAAGGAGGCAGTAAAAAGGAAAAAGAAAAAACTACAGCTGGCAGTAGGAGTATTGCACTGGAGCAAAGCATACACACTGACTGACTGACATGTCTTTGCAGAAGTACTGCTGCTGTTGCCGCCTCCGACAGTTCTCAGCAAAGAAATAAAAGGAAAAGGGAAAAGAAATGCGTGCGTACGTACGTACCGCTGCCCGCACGACACAGCAAAGTGCGGGCGCGGTCGAGTGCTGTGCCCTTGTCTGGGGAAAAAGTCCATTTTAAACCCTAAACTCGTAGAGCTTTGACGAATCAAACCCTCAAGTCCAAATTCCGGTCGTTTCAACCCTGAACTGTATAATCCCGGTCTAAATCAGACCCTGGATCCGTTTGCCAGACAGGGAATGCAAAGAATGGCCAGGATTGGTGGCGGTTTCCTATTTGCCGCCCGTGGGCAGCCAACAGCAGTGGCTACACCCCACAGCGCCCGCGGGTGGGCCGGCCCATTTCGCAGCAGCGCATATTGCTCGTTCACTGTTTTGTTTTTAGTTCGTTTCTGCTGTTGACTTTTTGTTTTATTTTATCTTTTTGTTTTTTTTCTGGTTTTTGCATGTTCTTTCTGCCTTTTCATTTCTGGTTCTTTCGTGTTGTTTCTGGCTTTATCTTTTTTTTCCTTTTTCTTTTTCTTCCATTAATACATTACAAGGAAATGTTTCATTGTGTATTTTTAATCATTAATAATACTTTAATATGATGAACAAGCTGTGTTTCTTCTGTTTATTTTTACTACTCTTCTTTTTTGTGTATTATACAAGAGTTTATCAGGTATTAAGAAAATGTTCATCATATATTTAAGAAAATGTTCGTATATTAAAAATATATTCATTTATGTACTTAAAAATGTTCAGCATATAAGAAAAAAATGTTCGGTGTATATGAAAAAAATGTTCAATATGTATTTTCAAATTGTTCAGTATTCATCACAGTAACGTTCATTGTGTATTTTCAAATTGTTTAGCACATATCACTGTAGTGTTTGTTATGTATTTACAAATTGTTTAGCGTATATCACAAAAATGTTTAATGTGTATATAAGAAATTTTCGTTGTGTATCAAAAAAATGTTCAATGTATATTAAAAGGTCCACGGGTTTTGTAACAAGATTCATGAATTTGAAACAAACATATTGAGAAAAGGTTCACGCATTACATAAAAAAGGTGCTCGCATTTCTTTAGCAGTGCAACAGAAAAAATGGGGCGGCCCATTGCGGAGGACGGGTACACTCCATGGTCAACAGTGCTTGAATTATTTCGAACCATATAAAACCGGTGGCCACTTAGTAGGAAGTAGCAAACAAAAAATAAGAACCTCGTGAACCAGATTTTTAAAATAAAAAAAGTTTACAATTTTTGAAAAAAATGTTCACAGATTTAGAAAGAGTACAATGATTTTGAAAATAAGCTCACAGTTTTTCAAAAGAAAATTCAATGGATTTGGGAAAAAATCACTTTCTTTGGGAAAAGATTCACGCGTTCAACAATTGTCAGATTTTCAAACATTACTCTTTTTTTTTAAATGCAGGAAAGGATACCAAAAAACCCGCCCTGATTCTGCGTTTAACTTTTTTTCTTAAACTTGCGCACTCCAGTTTGGTAACACAGGCTTGTTAGGTTGACTGGTTTAGCAAGTCTCCTTCGGATCTACAGGTTCGTAGTTCGAATCGTAGGACTTGTTGTTTTATCTTTTTCGACAATCAAATTGTTATGCTACTTTTTTTTTTGAGAATAATTGTTACGCTAGTACGGACGCTATTGTACACCATGGGCCGGCCCAGCTAGGTGTCACTGCATGCGTCGGGTCGAGCTCCCGTGTAACAGAAAAAAAAGACAATTTTTTTGCAGACAAAAAAAAACAAATGGGGTGGCCCAGCAGAGCCCAGTCAGAGAAATCCCGGTTGACATTCGTCAAGGTTTGATCTAGACCGGGATTATACAGTTCAGGGTTGAAATGACCGGGATTTGGACTTGAGAGTTCGTTTCGCCTAACCTCTACAAGTTCAGGGTTTAAAATGGACTTTTTCCATTGTCTGGGTCGCGCTCCACTCCCGTTGCATGTCACGCAGCCATGGACCTGGTGCAGCGTCAGTGGCGCGGGGTTAACCCAGTCCCAGCCCCTGGAACGGCCGCAATCATGATTTGTTCCCCATTACGCTGCCCTCGAAACCCTTTTTTATGAGTGTTTTTATTTATAATGTACTACTAATCATTTCCTCCTTCGCTTTTCCCGCCCCTCGTTCGCTGGTTAATTAATTAATGAGTAGGACTAGCAGTAGCACGTCTGTACATATTTGTCCGTTTGTTTATTCAACCCTGGAACCCAGCCACAGCCAGTTTGACGACCGCGCCACCACGCCAGCATCGGTGCACTCCGCCCACATGCCCCACCCCGTATCGCCAATCTCGAGCAGGAATGGACGGTGCAGACAGGCCCACGCCGGTGGACCAGGTGAGGCGCGTCCAGCCGACGGCCAGGCAGGAGTGTTCTGTCCATCGGTTACCGGTGCAGCAGAGGGTGAAGAGAGACAAGACGACGACCTCTGCCTCCTCTTCTCGCCTCCGTTAGCTTCCTTGGCCGTGGCTCTCTCTATAACTCGCGCACCTTTCTCTTTGGGCTCCTTCCTTTCTTCGCGTGCTCTGCAGCGCGCAAGAATCAAAAGGCGCCACTGGCGAGCGTGGCGCCGTAAACAGACCGCGGCGACACCAAAAGAGAGAGCGAGAGACAAGAACTAAAGCGAGCAGCCGGGCTGGTCTTCGCGCTATCCTTGCGAATCCTCGCGAGATCCTGTTTTTGTTTCCCCTCACGTTGCTTTTCCGTTCTGCGTAGGGGAGGGATTCCGCCGAGAATTTGTTGACCGGGAGGGGTCTGCTAGCCTAGACTAGCTGGGAGGGTAGGGCAGGCATGGAGGAGGCCGAGGAGATGCAGGTGGAGAGGGTGCACGAGGACGCGGAGCACGGGGGCGCCGACGCCGACAAGCTCAACTACGAGATTTTCTCCATCCTCGAGAGCAAGTTCCTCTTCGGCTACACGGACCCGCACCAGCTCTGGCTGCCCAAGCCGCCGCCGCCGGCGCAGGCGTCGCAGGCGGCCCTGGCGGTCCCGGTGAAGGCGGCTCAGCGCGGGAAGGTGTGCGTGCTCTGCGTTGATGGTGGCGGCGGCGGGCTGAGGGCGCTGCTCGCCGGCCGCGCGCTCGCGCACCTCGAGGCCGCGCTCCAGCGCGCGTCCGGGAGCCCCGACGCGCGCGTCGCCGACTACTTCGACCTCGCGGCCGGCACGGGCGCGGGCGGCGTCTTCGCCGCGATGCTCTTCTCGACCCACTCGCGCGGCGCCCCGCTGTTCCGCGCCGAGGACACCTGGCGCCTGGTGGCGGACCACGCGCTCAGGCTCTTCCGCAGGCCCGCTGGCTCCACCTCCCTCTTCTGCCGCGCCAAGAAGCGCCCGCTTGCTGCGCCCACGGCGGCGCTCAGCGTGGCCATGAAGGCCGCGTTCGGCGAGGAGCTCACCCTGCGGGACACCATCAAGCCCGTGCTAATCTCCTGCTATGACCTCAAGTCGTGCGCGCCGCTCCTGTTCTCGCGCGCCGACGCCCTGGAGAGCGGGAGCTACGACTTCCGCCTCTCCGACGTCGGCCGCGCGGCCTGGTCGGAGCCCGGCCGCTTCGAGCCGGCCGAGGTGGCGTCGGTGGATGGCGTGACATCCTGCGCCGCGGTGGACGGCGGGCCGACCATGGGCAGCCCGGCCGCCGCTGCCATCACGCACGTGCTGCACAACAAGCACGAGTTCCCGTTCGTGCGCGGCGTCGAGGACCTCCTCGTTCTCTCCATCGGCGGCTGCTCCGGCGCGGGCGGCTCCGGAGCCACCGCGGACGCCGACATCATGCGCATGCGCCGGTGGGGCCCCAAGGAGTGGGCCCGCCCCATCGCCCGCATCGCGGCCGATGGCGCCGCCGACCTCGTGGACCACGCCGTTGCACGCGCCTTCGGGCAATGCCACTCGTCCAATTACCTGCGCATTCAGGTGAGCAAGCAAATTCTCGGCCCGCCCGCCATTTATGGCATGTTCCGCCTGCACGGCTGTTTCCTTGGATATTATTAACTCTGGCGTGATCAGGCGAAGCGGGAGAGCATGCCGCCGTGCGGGCCGGACGGGGAGTACGACCCGACGCAGGCGAACGTGCAGGCGCTGCTCGCGGTGGCGGACGAGACGATGAAGCAGCGCAACGTGGAGTCGGTGCTGTTCGAGGGGAGGCGGATCGGGGAGCAGACCAACGCGGAGAAGCTGGAGTGGTTCGCCGCCGAGCTCGTCGCCGAGCACCGCGGCAGGGGCTCCCGGATCGCGCCCACCGTCGCGTTCAAGCAGTCGCCGGCGCTGGGCTGAGCTACGCTGGCGGCCGTGCACTGCCGTGCTGTGGAGCAAGGGTCGACGACATGTTGTAGGCCTCTCCTCGCTTCTTGCTTTCGACGGAATTCCGCTGCACTTTTTACGTGGCAGTGTCAGTGTGGCATGGCTTGGCTACCTGAAGCATTTGCCATTGGGAAATTCGAAGGGTAAAATATTGGAAGGAACATCCGCGATATACTCCAGATTCTTAGCTTTCACTTCGACTTAGGATATATATGTAGCTGCCTCCTGAATGCAGAATTATGCCCCGGCTGATGTGGGCGTTTGGGTTGCGATATAATCCGCTGAAAAGCAGTGGATACAGCTGCTGCGGTACTGCAAGCATGGGCCTCCTCCGAACATAAATAAATTCTCCAGAGTTCGTCTAATCTAGCCCTGCGAATTTTCATTTCCAATTACCAAATGATATTTGTCAGCTGGATGAAGTCTGTTCCATTTGAACGCTCATTTTATGGTATGACTTGCACGGGACACAAAAAAAATACTTCCGTCTTCTGCATCCCGTCGATGTCTATTAATCTCATAGTTGAGTCCACGTCTTAAAGCGCACGGAGTCCACGTCTACACTGCATTAGGGGACGCATAACTGATCGAAACAGACATCTCGGAGATCCCTTTCTTGAAGAAGTGAAAGAGAACCCTGTAGATGTATATGTCCTATCACTGTCTTGATGCTGACCGGGGCATGCTTTTCGTTTCATCCAAGAGCATAAAGATTCCTCCAAGCGAACTAAATCAAGCATATTGGCATGGGTTCTTAATTAAGTTACCAAATCAGGTAATGTTTTTTTGTTACAACATGCTGCAAACAGTTCTAGCCTTTTCCTCCCGGTTACTGATAACCGTATATACGCATGATGCTAAGAGGATCGAACTGAGTTCGTGCTCCCCGGCAAAAAAAAAAAAACCCTAAAAATAAAATAAAAACTGAGTCTGTGCTTGACTGAAGAAAGGCTTTTTTTATGTACGGGCGTGGTCCGCGGACATGATGCCGGAGTGAGCCATGCTGCCCATGCAAAACACAAATTAATCTGGTTGGAAGAAGAGAGAGTAGGGGGGAACCATGCATATGGTGGGATTTGTTGTATGGTGTCTCGTTAGAAGGAGAGGGATGAGAGGGAGACCATGCATGTGAAGAGAGAGAAACGAGAAGACGACGACGTGAAGCTTTTCGTTGATCAGATCGACGATTAAGACTCCGGCAAAGCCCCCCACATTTGTTTCTAGGATATAAGAATTCGGACGTACGGACTGCTAAGCGGATATATACAGGTCTTCGTTGGATGGCAAAAGTGATCTCAACATATAGTGGAGATTTGAGGGTTCGCTTTGAAGATGCCCTAACCTATTCGTTTGGCTCACTTTTCTATCAACTTTTTCTGGCCTTATTTCATCCTAAATTATGTACCCCTCCCCCCCCCCCACACAAAAATGTAGTTCTCATCTTAATTTTGGTTAGAATATCTCTTTAGCGAAACAATTCGGTTACATATTTGACTACTAACAAAATGTGCAAATACAAAAGTAAACATCTTAAGTTATGTGCACAAGGAAAATGGACATGTTTTTACACAAAAAGTATGTGCACAAGCCTCACACCACAATGCACAACTCTTTTTTAGCTTTCTTCTTCAAACGGCTTGAGTGATTTGTATGTTATGGATTTTATCTCGCATGTGGGAGGGAGGTCATTGTTAGGGCACACGAGAGGTCGTAAAAACGGAAAATTGAAGAAAGAGGAAAATAGTTGGTGTTTCCTGTGACAGTGTTGTCGAAGGATGACTGTTTGTTCGGTAGGGACGACCACTGGCCGATCAAGGGGTCGAGGCAAAGACATAGAGAGTTTACCGATATTCAGGCTCTTCGGGGAGGAGGTAAGGCCCTACTCATGCCTTATTGTGAAGGTCGACGAACATGTATGAGATCACGGGCGAGATCTGTTCTCAAGATTACAACCCACTCCTCCCGACAGCAGAGTGTAAAGTTCGTCAAAGAGGGTCTGCACTAGGGTTTCTTTCTTAACCCCGTGGAGGGTCTCTAGAGTTGGGAAACATAGTAGAAAACAAAAAAATGACCTACATATTAAGTTACAAGGGTCACTATGTAAATACAGATGAGATTAGTTGTATCATTACCAACTCGGTTTTTGGAACAGAAGAAGAGTTGGTGAAGTCATTCGTGCAGATTACCGCAGCTATGATTTACAACCTCCGAACCGCGATTTTTTTCTCCCTTGAATGAAGATTGAAAGCACGATGTCTCCACCGGATTGCACGCGTAGGGAGTCAGCGATCAGGCAATGCTTCACTGTCCAGAATTAATCGTCGCTGAGGAGCTAGAGGGTGGAGCAGCATTGCGACTATGCGAACTAGTTTCATGGAGAACGAGAGATAGGGGGAAGCCCTTGCGCAAGGGCTGCCCCCCTCTATATATAGGGGGAGGGAGCAGACTTGGAGGAGGGTCTCCCTCCCCTTAGGAGCGGCGCACCAAGGGGTGGACCCTACCCTAACCCTAGCCACATCCCTTGACTTGGGAGCCAAGGCTAGGGGTGGCGCCCACCTCACGGGCCCCAAAGGCCCATTCGGTTGGCCACCATATAGGCCTTGCCTATAGGGATGACCCATGACTCCTTATACTTCCAGGCTTGTCTAAATATTTATCCTCGGGAACTTTTCCGCTCTCCTTGTTTTATCCCCTTTTTTAAAACGATCTTGATTAGTCTGAAACACTTCCGATTCTCTCTCAAAACTATTTTCAACATCTCTGAAACTTTTCCGGTGACCATCTCTCAAGCTCCTAACCATCTAGTACTCAATAGATCGATGGCCCTTAAGCATGTGACCCTGCATGTTCGGTAGATTATAGGCATGATAAGAACTCCTTCCATTAAATGATCAATAGCAGAACCGTGGACATCCATAATGCCCCTATACCTACAAGAATGAATATCGAGTGAACTTGTAGTTACTGTGTCTTATTCCTTTTGCTTCATGATAATTTACAAAATCTGAGGTGAGATTTATCGACATCCGCATGAATCAATAACTTGATCACTAAGGGCATCTCCAATGGCAACCTGCAAGTAATAAATCATATCCTGGGGACTATGCACACAACCAGGAGCAAGAGAATTAAACCATAACTTAGCATCACCCTTTAACGAGAAAGGAAACAATTTAAGAATATAGTAATAGCAATTTTTTCCTCATGAGCAAATAGGGTGGCTATATCATTCAATTTAGTAAGATGTGCCACAACAGTTTCAGATTCATAACCATGAAAAGGATCAGATTCAACCAAGGTAATTAACTCAGGATCAACAGAGAATTCATAATCCTTATTAGTAACAAAGATAGGTGAAGTAGCAAACTTAGGATCATATTGCATTCTAGCATTCGAAGACTTCTCTTTCCACTCTCACAATAATTTCTTAAGATCATCTCTATCCTTACAAGCAAGAAAGTCCCTAGCTACCTCTCTGATAACCCACAAGTTTAGGGGATCGCAACAATTTTCGAGGGTAGAGTATTCAACCCAAATTTATTGATTCGACACAAGGGGAGCCAAAGAATATTCTCAAGTACTAGCATGCGAGTTGTCAATTCAACCACACCTGAAAGACTTAATATCTGCAACAAGTGTTTAGTAGCAAAGTAGTATGGAAGTAACGGTAATAGTGGCAAAAGTAACAGTAGCAGTTTTGTAGCAATCGTAACAGTGATAACGGAGAAGTAACGTAGCAAAGATCAGTATATGGAAAGCTCGTAGGCAATGGATGAATGATGGATAATTATATCGGATGCAATTCATCATGCAACAGTTATAACATAGGGTGACATAGAACTAGCTCCAGTTCATCAATGTAATGTAGGCATGTATTGCGAATATAGTCATACGTGCTTATGGAAAAGAACTTGCATGACATCTTTTGTCCTACCCTCCCTTGTCAGCGGGGTCCTATTGGAAACTAAGAGATATTAAGGCCTCCTTTTAATAGAGTACCGGACCAAAGCATTAGCACTTAGTGAATACATGAACTCCTCAAACTACGGGCATCACCAGGAAGTGTCCCGACTATTGTCACTCCGGGGTATGCCGGATCATAACACGTAGTAGGTGACTATAACTTGCAAGATAGGATCAAGAACACTCATATATTCACGAAAACATAATAGGTTTAGATCTGAAATCATGGCACTCGGGCCCTAGTGACAAGCATTAAGCATAGCAAAGTCATAGAAACATCAATCTTAGAACATAATGGATACTAGGGATCAAACCCTAACAAAACTAACTCGATTACATGGTAAATCTCATCCAACCCATCACCGTCGAGCAAGCCTACGATGGGATTACTCACGCAAGGCATTGAACATCATGAAATTGGTGATGGAGGATGGTTGATGATGATGATGGTGACGGATTCCCCTCTTTGGAGCCGCGAACGGACTCTAGATCAGCCCTCTCGAGGAAGATTAGGGCTTGGCGGCGGCTCCATATCGTAAAACGCGATGAATCATTCTCTCTGATTTTTTTCTCCCTGAACGTGAATATATAGAGTTGGAGTTGAGGTAGGTGGAGGTTCAGGGGACCCACGAGGCAAGGGAGCGCGCCCGAGGGGGGTGGGCGCGCCCTGCACACTCGTGGACAGGGTGTGGGTCCCCCTTTGTTGATTCTTTTGCCAATATTTTTTATTAATTCCAAAATGTGACTCCGTGAAGTTTCAGGTCATTCCGAGAGCTTCTATTTCTGGACAAAAATAAAACCATGGCAATTCTGCTAAAAATAACGTCTGTCCGGGTTAGTTCCATTCAAATCATGCAAGTTAGAGTCCAAAACAAGGGCAAAAGTGTTTGGAAAAGTCGATATGTTGGAGACGTATCACTCTCCATCCATAACATAACCCTTAGGCATAACAAGAAGTTCATATCTAGGAGAGCTAGGTCTAACAGGTGTTGCAAAGTTTTTAGTTTCAA